AGAGAGAGAGAGAGAGAGAGAGAGAGAGAGGTGGAGGGGGGTAGACATTTAACCTTAACCCCTTAAACGTGTTTTTTTCCCTTTTTTTGTATTTTTATCGACACGTTTAGATATCCCGCCTTGCTCAGTTGCGGGGAATTTCTGTTACTCCCCGGCGCGAAGACTACCAAGGGATGAGAGGGTGAGAGAGTTGGTGGAGGAAAGCGCCCCGGGATGGAGAGCGAGAGAAGGCCGGGCGACGGAGAAGATTGTGGGAGATCTCGAGCAGGAGATAGATGAGACGGGGAAGGGAACTAACTTTCAGGGCAGATTTGAGGCTCGTATCGTGACATACCGTACGTGTAAGTGGATACGGAGCCGGATTTGCTACTCCCCTCCCCTTTCCCGGCGTTACTCCACAAAATTTCACCAGCCACTTCGGCGAGCCTGAGAGGGCCGGATCCCGCCAGTCAGCCAGCTCGAAAAGGGGATCCCAGGCCGGGGAGGTAGGCTGCCACACACGGCCAGGTACAGCACGCTAGCTGAGATTTTTCCCCCTCCTGTTCGTTAAGCCAAACTACCACCACACGACCACCTCCTTTGTCCGGGAAGAGAAATAACTCCCCACCCCCTTTCCTGCTCCAACCCTTTCCCCCGTCAACCCCTCCTCCCCTCCCTGCCACTCGCCAGTCCCTCTTTGCCTGATTTACGGGGCATTGAAGGAAAGCACGGCCCCAACGCAGTCCGACGATCGGGTGCAGACAGGATATATACACTTACTTTAACGCGAACGAGTGAAATATATTGCCCGATTTTTCCTCTGGCCGCGTTCTACTCCATACATGCAACCACAAAAGTAGAAAACTTCCTAGCTTGCTCTTGCAAGCAAATTTTTTCCAACGGCTATATATTCTTTGGTGTGGAAATAATCGTGATCGTAGGACATGAGAACATAGAGTGAACCATATTCACAATTAGCGACAGTTGGTTTTCGTTTCAGGACAAAATTGTCAACAAACAGGTTATGTCATGTTTTGGTCCCTCCGAAAACATATTTACACCACCTTGTAGGATTATCGAACAGTCCTCGGAGGGACACGCGTGGGTGCACTATCTCACCTGACGTTGTCCTCGTCGACAAACATGACCACCACCCTGGCCTTGGGACGCTGCGCCAACCGCATGACCACCCGGTCGTACTCCTCGGGGGTGGCCGTGCGGTGGATCAGCTCCGAGACGCCGACGCAAATCCCGTTCAGGCCCGCCAGCTGCACGAACGACTGGATGCCCTGCAAACACACAACACACACGGAGCGGATAATGTACACGGCAGACTTTTAATACAGACACTGTTAGTTTTGCATTATCAGTCTCAGGCAGACAGCAGGGTGGTCCGTGTCTACAATGCTAAAGTTAGGAACAGCCGGCAGGAAATAAACCTGAAAGTGGACGTCCGTGTAATATGGACTGACTGCTGTCGTTGGACAGGCCATGGTACAAAGCGTACACACTTGAATATGTATATCGTCAAGCACGCCTCCCACATGGGGCGGCCACAGAGTGCGGCGTGTAGGCGGGCAATAGCCGAGAAGGCTTGTTTTATTTTTCTTGGGGGCGCCGCGTCCGTGGGAGGAGTTTTCGTGTGGGCATGGATGCGTCTGGAACACGCACAGCAGCCCGCCTGATGACCGGCAGGCCCGGCAGGCTGCTCGGGCCTTGACGTGATTCGGACGGACGGGGAGTGCAGGCGACAACCTCCTCCCCTCCGCGCCCGTATACACGCGCATTCGATGGATTTAAACGAGGACCATACAAAGACATCCGCGCAAAAGTAACAACGGTAACGTCGACAGAGGATTGTACCTCGAGAGCCCTAACAGTTAACAGTTGTTAAAAGCAGTAAGAGCGGAGGCTGCTGGCGGACTCACCATCACAAAGTATCCGCACTTTGTGCTCGACATGGTGCGGGCGGGCCCGCAACCCCCGTGACGTACGGGCCCGCGCCCACGCCGCCCGAGCCCACGCTGTACATTTTCTAACATTGCATTTGTTTTCTTTGAGGAAAGTTTATTTCGGTGCTGATGGCGACGTACCTGGCGCGCGCTGCGCCGCGGCGGGCCGGACAGGCGGGGCACGCCGGCTTTCACCCGGGGGGTATGTATGTCCTCCCAGATTAGCATCGCAGATAGCCCCGCATGCCCTAGCCCGGCCTTTGCGAGCAAGCCCCGTGCATGTCGTGCGCCCCGGCCAAAGTGATATTCCACTTTACCAAAAAAAAAAAAAAAAAAAGAGAGAGAAGAAAAAATGAAGCGCACTCGCGCGCACGTACATATACACACAAAAAAAGGATGGAAATAAAAATAAAATGTATATATATATATTCCGCCAGAATTGAAAGGCTTTTATACTTCGTACGAGTGACGCACGCGCATGCCCCCCCGTCTCGCCCCACCACTCTCCTACTGCAGCCATAATTGAGCTGTTACTGCTGCTTCCGCGTGAATGCTCCCAACAGTGCCTCCAAAAGGGCAGGCTGTTGCGGGCTTGTGCAGTTTTCGCTCCCAGGTGACAAGCCCGCACGAGCCCGCAAGATTTTTCAAGTCCAAAATTTGCATATTATTTCCAAT